AGGAGACTTTAATAGATTCCGACGTTTCCGGGAACTTTGTCAGTGAATGTGGAATACTTCGGGGCGACAGCTGCGGGTGCTTTTCTCTGTCTTCTTCTTCTTCTTCTTCTTCCTCGCCGAGACATGTTGCCTCGTTTGAGTCTATCGACTACGCGTCCACGCTAGTCCAATGATATTTTCGAATTCCGACGATATTTATGTTGATTGAACGAATCGAATGGTTTCCTGTGTTCTTATATACCGTGAAATCGACTGGAATATTTATTGTCTCTTATTTTATCTTTGTACTCATACTATCAAATTTCACTTCACGTGTTTCTAACTATGAGAGTGACACGTCCACGCGAGTTAATTAAACAAGATGAAAGAAATAAAAGACAAAAGAGTTTGAAAGGCTAGTTTGAAACCCTGGCTCACGCGAACTCGCCGAAACACACGTCGGGAGGGGATGCAAAGAGAATACTTTTTTTTTCGGATAGATTTATCGCGACGGTCGACCGATCGAATCCCTGAACGGTGAATTTATGGAAGGGGGAAACGGTATCAAAAAGCAGTCGATACTGCATTCGTTGGAAGTTTCGAACGACTTTAAATCTATCGCGGACTAATTTATTTTGATGGCGGAGCTGTGCTTAACGGTCTCGGGCCGGAGACGTTTCGTTACCGTTTCTTAAGGTTTCCGGACCGGGCATATCTCACAGGGACCACTTAAGACGAGACTTCGCTCCGAAGTCGACGGTGATTTAGTTAAATCCACCTTTGGCGCTTTAGTTTCGCGAGTTAACGTCACCAACTTTCCCGGAATTTACCTACGAGTGAGATACCGTACTCCTGGGATAAAGAGAATTCCGCGGAATTCAAGTAGCCGGCTCGATCTTTCCTACCTTTCAATTCCCTGTTTTCGTTTAAATAAACTCGATTAGAGAAAGAAGAGAAAAAAAAGAGAGGAGAAAGAAATCGATGAGAGAGAATGAACGGACAAGTTCGTTATTGACACATTCGTTGTGAATAATTATACTTACTTTGCTTTCTTTCTTGTTAAATCGTTGATCGATAGTTTTTCTCTCTTTCTTTCTTTCTTTTTTTTTTTTTTTG